GATGCAAGAATGTCATAGCAACCTTCAAATGTATAAGAATGTACGACTGCCCACAATGTACACATGACATCACAATCATGGCATGTTTGTACATGTACATACTCCATTGTCAAGTTTGTACAGCGGTATTGCTGCTTTTGTTGAAAACCTTTGTCCTATGTCATTATGATACTCAAAATGGTACTCAGAATAAAATCTCATAGTTTCAGTTGTGATGTAACATCCAATCATTGAATCATCATTCCATCTACATACCCGCTACCTTGTTGAAAGTGAAGGTAGAATTTCGCCAACTGACTGTAAACAACTGAGTATGGTACAAAACAATTAAAATAGAATCACATAACCAGATAAACCCATGTCAATCAACTTTCTATGCAGGTACCAATGGTTGACATAACCAATCTAAAAAACATGCATATCCAGGGCTATTATACAAATGATAAAAGTTAATAATTTCTTTCATGGCATAAATACACATTTCCATTGAGTGAAACCCAAATTAACCATCATCCATCTTTAGGAAACCACAAATTTTATATTTTTCTAAAATTTTGGAGGAGTCAGATGGCAACAGACCTGTATAGTTATTCTTGCAGGGCAAGTCACCTGTTTTGTTTTTCACTATAGGAATCAGGATTGTTTTCATAAAATCTCCATAAAGAACACCATGGATCAGCATCAAATTGAAAACAGTGTTTAAAATGAAATAGAGTCTACGGGCATGCTTATAGTGTTCTACAGAAATACCATCATCACTGGCAGATTTACCAATGCACAATTTATCAATAACAGTTGTGCTTCATGATTTGTTTTCACTGTAAATTTATGGCTACAGGATACACCACATAAATCATTAACAAAACTTTGAGACGTACCACATAATGGACAGTGAAAGGTCAAGATAGTATATGCCATCCAGCTATTGTGTGACATTCCAAAATAATAAGTGCATGGCTCTTAAAGTTGGGGTCAGAACAGAGTCTGTACATTTATATCTTTACATGCCTATTCAACCATTTCTTTCAACAAATTATTTTCTGAGGTATTGTGAGGTCACATGTCAGATCAACTGTAACACGACATACATGGAAGACAGGTTTTTGAATATTAGATGAGAAATACAACATTGTTATCAATTCAATAAAGATAACTCTCAATAAAAATTGTGTCAAAAGGACAATGGCTATACTCTCATCAGCAAACAATTAAATTAGTAATAATAATTTCAATTCTCAAAACAAAATGAGCTTTCTTTCTCGGGTCTGTAACTAATTGGGTCACATGAGAAGCTACGATGCTTTATCTAAAATTGTTTATCCATGTGGAAATTATTCACTTATCAATGTATGCATAACTGTTATATATTTCATGTAAGTAGATAAGTGCTAATGACAATTGTCCACATCCATGCATTATTCACATAATCTCACAATTTATGACTAAATTATTTGAAATACAAACTTGTCATCAGGGTATGCAGACCTCAATATACACCAGCATATACAATTGTGAGTTTATATTTTGAGTCAAAAAAATTGTGGAAAAAATAACTAATATTTGCCTATGTGTAATCAAGATCTGGGTGTGTATAATGGCAGAATTTTAATACTTTTTTAACATTAAAATATTCCACCATTCGGCCTTCTTAAATCTGCTTATTAAACAAATTATTGTGTATACATGTGAAATGATGTATGATAAAGTTCTAACATGAATGGTCACAGCATGTCAGCTCCAAAACCATGCACATTCAGTAAAACAAAAGGTCTCATAATGTCCAATGCATGTATCAAGTTTAAACAATTACATGGCTGTATTTACAACTCCATAGAATTTACACTGAAGGCCTTTGGAAATATATTGTACATTAGTATTATTGTAGCATCATCTGATTCACATGTTGTTGTCCCTATGTGAGATCATGTTATGAAAAGTTTCATTATGTTAAATTGAATGATTCAATTAGGCATGTCAAGGAGCTATACCCATCAACCAACAATTAATAGATATACCATAGTGTATGTCATCTTATATTTAAACAATACTGAATACACCCCCCCCCCCCGCTCCCAGTGCTGAATTAGATGAGAAGTATCAATGGCAAGATAATTTGTACTGCTGTAA